AGGAGGAGGAGGAGGAGGAGGGCGATTAAACTGGAGTGTATCGCTAGAAGAAGAAGAAGAACGTGTCGCGAGTTTATTTACGGAAATCTAACGTGAAACTCTAATTAAGGGAATATAGTAAGAGGAAGTGAGATAAAGAGAGAGAGAGAGAGAGAGATATACTTCAAAACGTGTATGTGGGGGGCAAAAGAGAACGATCGAAGAGAAGAGAAGGACAAAGTGTAAAGAAGGATGCAAGGGAAGATGAACAACCCAACAGAACACTCCAGGGAGTCCCGTTTTGTGCACTTGACACGTAGCGACACGTAGACGGCGTTGCCCATAGCGAAAAAGAGAGAGAGATAGGATAGAGATGAGGGGTGGGAGGGCTTAACAAGAAGAACAAGAAATGCTAGTAGAGAAAATATATATATATACATATAGGAGTCTACTTAGAAATACAAAGATAGAAATGAAGGTACGTGTCTCATCCTAAAGGGAGTAACATGACATTAAATAAAATAATGTAAATAAAAAAAAAAAAAAGATTTGTATATCGGACATACTTGACTTTGCCACCGCAAAATTGGCAAGCAGGACCCTGCCATCCCTCGCGACACAAGCATGTACCATTGACACAATCCCCGTTGATGCAGGTTTCGGTGTCGCAACTGGGTTCGGTAGTCGTCGTTGTAGATGAGGAGGAGGAGGCAGCCGAAAGGTGCAGGAGCCAACAGCAGAGCAACACCGCCCACCAGAGCGGAGTCAAGCATGGCACCGTGATCCCAGCACCGCACTCTTTAAACCGTTTAATCAGTTCTACTTGTCGTGTCGGTTGCCTAAGACGTTTACGACGATATTTTGATTTATAAAGAAACAAAAACATCTGCACGATCTCTGCCATTTTGATAGGCTTCCATGTCAGAGACAATGGCCGACGGCGACGCACCGAATAAGAAGAAGAAGACACATACGGGATAGGAATGCACTTTTACCTTTCTCTCTCTCTCTTTCTCTCTTTCTATTTTTCTCTTAAGAGAGAGAAACATACACTCAACACTTTTTAAACGTTTGCTGTTGTTTAACACACCTCCCGGGTCCTTACGTTTATCTCTGTTCACACGTTATTTTCTTCTTTCTTTAACAATCTCTTTCTCTCTGAAAAAATTTCGTCACTTATTGGCCTAACTCGAAAACAGAGTTAACTTTTATTATTTCTCTCTTTTCTGTTTTAAACCACCCGAACCTTCCACTTTAGCACGACGGTGCTGTCTGTCGTTGCTGTGCATGCTGCTGTATGCCTCGTCTGACGACGACGACGATGACGACGATGGTTGGTTCTCCCCTTCACCACCGGCCCTTGTCTCTCTCTCACACACTCTCCTCTCTGTCATTCACCAACGCCCTCTATAAAATACGAACACTCTCGAACAACCCTGAACCTTTTCGATTGGTATACTCCCGGCCATTTTCTACCTAACATTCAGCGCTTCCCAACTTTCTTTCATGAAACATTGTAATGTACTCCATCTGTGGTTGACTCTAATTAGGAAAAAAAAAAAAAGAGAGGAAAGAAATATTTTAATCTTTATAATATAATTCCCAAAATAATTGTAAAGCGCGTATTTCAAAACCATTCTGAAGTTGCAGTCTACGATGACGATGAAAACGTGACGACCAAGTCGTGGAGTCATACACCAGCGCCCTTTTCTTAATGTGCTTAACCCTTCTTCTATCTTTACTTTGCGTAGACCAGATATTACAGTAAAACCGTTAGTCAGGATTCCGTTATATTCCTGATTCCGATATACCCCCACTACTTTTGCTAAAGTGGGCCTGATTCGAGGCCAGTCAGTCTCTGGAATTCGGTCTGTTAAGAACGCTCTTGTACACAAGTCAGTTAAACAAAACAAATAAACACCAACAAATATTTTCTTTTACACCAACGATGAAGGATGTTTATTAAAATCCTTTGAACATTTATACATTTATTTTGAATTATTTTTTTTTATCTGTTTTCAAAATGTTATCGGAATTTTGTTTGTTTGTTTGTTGTTTGTTTGTTTACCGTCAGTGTAAACAAGTCAAGTGAAATTTGAAAAAAAGCTATAACAAATTGCTGGGCCTTGGGTTTGAAAGCTCGTTGTGTGGTAGCAGAAGAGACATTGATCATTTTGATTTATTTTATCTTAATTATTTAATCCTTTTTATTTTCAATATTGATTATTTTTTATTTGTTATCATCAATCGATCATTTAGGAATGATCTCTAACAAAAAAATATCAGAAGGTAAACTGAAGCTCATAAGTCACCTTTTTTGTAACCAAAATCATCTTAGTTACTAACCTGACCACCAGTTGGCAATAGTAGATATTTCACGCTATTACTGTACAATACTATCAAAAAAGGGTACAATACTATCAAAGAATAAAACATTTTACATACTATCGCCCACTGGTGGTCAGGTTAGTAACTAAGATGAATCTGGTTAGAAAAAGGGGGATTTTTAGAGCTTCTATATACTTCTGATATTCTTTGGGCAAACTTTATTAACGTTCGTACCGATAATCAAATATAATTGAACCGATCTACAACATGTTACCACTCGTTGACGTTTTACGGAAATAAATAATGTCACGTCGTTACATTGAACAGCCCACCACCACCACCAATACCTTTACCACCTCCAACAACACTCTGATATGATTTTGAGTAAAGCATGCTACCAGTGATGAAAAGAAAGCCAATCGAACACGTCGTTTTCTCGTTGGTTTTACTTCTTTTATAATCAACCGATTTATCGCGAACATAATTACGGACACATGATTTATTATTATTTTTCTTCTATTTCTTCTCTTCTATTTCTTCATAGGTAATGAAATTATTCATATATCATTTTTTAGACTTTATGAGAGAAGCTTGAAAATAAAAATTAAAAAAAAAATAACAAAATTCAAATGAGAAAAGAATGATTGTTTTATTATACAAAATATGACTACGATTTATGTGAACGAAGCATATGTTGTTTGAAAAACACACACACAATTATATATTTTTTTACAAGGACGTCGTACATTTATCGTAAGTTTTTATTTTAAAACATACTGTTTTTATTTCCGCGTGATTTCACACACACACACACACACACACACATATATTATAAATGAAATATGCAACGATTACTAAGAGAACAAAGAGAGAAAAAAAAATAAAAGAAAATTGCAACTTAAATTGTATAAACAAACAAAAAGCAAAATTTTGGGATCAATCATTTCGGCATAATCTTTCGGCATAATCTTTCGGCATAATCTTTTTAAAATGAACATTTTATAGAAAAAAAAAACCAAAAAAAAAATTAATCATCTAAATTTTGTATCTAAATTTGTATTAATACAATAATTTGATTCACGTATTGTATTTCGATCGCGTTTGATTCAAAATTGCAAAAAAATATCGCGTTTAAAAATGGCCGACAAATGAAACATTTATTAAAATTACTTTGTGAAGAAGTAACGAAATAATAATTGTTGAAAAATTGAAAAATGGCAGGAAAAAAGAAAAAAAGTGGTAGAGGAGGTAGAAAGGGTAAGAAACAAGAATCGAAGAAAATAATCGACGAGTATCAACTTCGTCGCGATTTAAGAGCGGGAACGGAAAGGGAAGATTCTTTAAACATGGAGGATGCAACGAATTTTTTAATTGAAGACACAAAATTAGCCGAAATTCCATCGGAAATTAGAATCGGTGGTTTAGAGGGGTAAGTTTTTTTTTTTGTTTTATTGTTTTTTTTTTTTTTTTTGTAATTTAAATTTAAAATTACACACGACGTTTACGATTAAAATAAAAATATAATTACTTGAAGAACACAAAAAAAAGAAAAAAAAAAGAAAAAAAGACAATTAATCTGACAAAATTGTTATCTTTACAATACTTCTAAGTATACTTAATAATAACTCATCTTCGTTATAGCTTTGAAATGTTCTCTTATCGTGTTATTACATTTTTCAAATCACTATCTCGAATTTAAAACGAACCTTTTTTTTTTTTTAATACAACGAATAACACATCATAAATTTCTTCTTTTTGTTTTTTTTTTGTTTTGTTTTGTTTTACCTTATCTGACAGATACACAAAAGAAAAGTAAAAAAATCATTTAAAAATCTTCAAAGATATTATCTTTTATTCTTGCAATATATGAATTTATTTGAAATCTAGTTTGATTAATAAAAATTCATCGATACTGTATTAAACATACACCCGTTATATATTTTATTAAATGAAGAAATCACCAAAACCAATCAATCACCAATAAACCGTGTTAATATTTGTTAAGAGATTAAATCAATATCTGTTAAAAAATATAAATACAATGAAGATTATCGAATAATCAAAATCAAAAACAAACAGAAAAATATAAAAAATACATAAAATTACTGTAAATTTCGTTTGTAGAGGAGGTACACATTCCACCTTTGTAATAATCAATCAAAATGGAGAAAAATTGATAGAAGTTAAAGGCCCCGACACCAATCATTGGGTAAATTATTGTCATCAAATAGCTAAAAAAAAAAATCCAAAATAAATTATAACCTAATTATTTAACAATTACATTCTGATAAACAATTTGTACAATAGATTTTAGGAATGAAAGAAACTGCAGCTAGGATTAATTCTATGATAGAACGTGGAAAAGAATTATTGAACATACCTAAAACTATTCCTTTGAATTGCGTGGTATTTATTTAATTGTTATAATAAATAAATATGAAATTATTGATAAAATATATATAGATATATATATACAAATATACATATATATTTGTAGGGTCTAAGTTTGAGTGGTTGTGAGGAAGAAACAACAAATCGTTTACTCATTGATACACTTCTTGAGGATTATCCAGATGCTGCTAAAGATTATTGTGTTAGTTCAGATACATTGGGTAGTCTTAGAACTGGTTTAGAAATTGGTGGGATTGTATTGATAGCTGGAACAGGAAGCAATGCTTTACTCATCAATCCAGATGGTAAAACTCATGGATGTGGTGGTTGGGGTTATATGATAGGAGATGAAGGCAGTGGTAAACATATTAAAAAATGATATTGCTTAAATATTCATATTATCAAGAATCCTAATAATGTTTGTTATCTTGTTAAGCATATTGGATAGCACACCGAGCTTGCAAATACGTTTTTGATGACATGGATGACCTAGTTAAGTCACCTTATCCAATATCTTATGTCTGGCCAGCTATGAGAGATTTTTTCAAAGTAACAGACAGAGCTGGCATGTTACAACATTTGTATTCGAACTTTGACAAAAGTAAATTTGCCATGTTTGCCAAAGAAATAGCTGTTGGTTGTGATAGAGATGATTCTCTTTGTCTTTCGATATTTGAAGAAAATGGCCGATTACTTGCACGTCATATTGTTGCACTTTTCAAGAAAGCTCATAACGTGAGTTACAATTAACAAAATGTATGATTATGTTGATAAATCATTCAATGTATTTGTATTTTTAGGATCTTAAATTAAGTGATGGTGGTCTTAAAGTGATATGCGTTGGATCTGTATGGAAATCATGGAAATACATGAAAGATGGTTTCATTGATGAGATTCATAGTGGCTTGGTCATAGATGAATTTAGTCTTCTCAATTTAACAGTCACTTCAGCATTGGGATCATCCTATTTAGCTGCTGAACAAATTAATTGCCCATTTGTTAAACCTTATAATGAAAATGTGCAAGTATTTTTCCATTACAAACGTGATCATTATGGTAAAATAGGAAATATCGATAATACCATTAATAAATCAAGTAGGACTATGGATACCTTAGGTTACGTTGAGTGTGATAAAAAATGATCAAAGATGATAATAGTACGTGCAAATAATGAAATATTTATTAAATAATATTAGAATATTTAATGTGTTCCTGCCTGACAGAAAAAAAAAAAAAAAAGAAAACAAAATGCATCCTGGAAGAGACTGTAACATTGATACGAATTATTAATAACAATTCTCTGTTAAACAATTTCTTTTAGATTTGTTTTTCAAAAATGCAAATAATAAAACCTTTAATAACAAATTTATATACGCCCATTGTTTTATTAATTTGTATAGAAATTAATTAACGATAATAATTAATTAATTTAGAAATAAATATATATATAGGAAAGTAATCAATTGACAAAAAATAACAAAACAATTGAAATACGATTAGTAAATAAAAATTTAAAATATTAACAAATTGAAATGTAATGTTTTAACCTAAATATAAATGAGCTCAAATTTCAATTTTTGTGACAAGTTTGGAAAAAGGGAAATGGGAATAAAAACAATATGGAATACATTTTGGAATTGGTTGTTTTGGGCAGCTACAATTGTTATTAAAATTATATGTTATTTAATTCTATTTTTACTCAGTTTAATATTTTTCATCGCGTCTACCAGTGCTACCATATTTTTTATCCTGCATCTTCTTGGATATATGTCGACAGACAACGAACATAGAGAATCATAAATGAAATTCATTGAAAAAAGAAATAACAGGTATGTACTATATATACATATACATATCTTAGGCTGTTCAATAAGTTTTGCGGTTTGATAAGAGAGGACGTTGCTACTAGCTTAAATTTTTGTTGTTGTTGTTGGTACACTCTTCATATGAACGTATGTGAAGTTTCATTTCAATTTATCAATTCATTCTTTGTTTACAAGCAATTTAGTATCGTCGTGTTACAGTATTTGTTTACAATGGAAAAAATCAAGTATCGTGCAGTAATTGAATTTTTATTATTGGAGGAAGGTTTAAAATCAAAGGAAATTTATGAACGAATATTGAAAGTGTATAAGGACTCTTCACCTTCACTTAGTACAGTAGAAAGATGGGTTGCTAAATTTATACGTGGTTGTACAAGCCTTGAAGACGATCCACGTGAAGGACGTCCAAAAACAGTAACAACACCGGAAATTGTAGAAAAAATATTGGATATCATATTGGAAAATCGTCGAGTGACTGAAAGAGATTTAGTAGAAACCCTAGGCATCTCATTGGGCACTGTAAGCAAAATTTTGACTAAAGTATTGAATTTCAGAAAGCTGTGTGCACAATGGGTGCCGCATTCGCTAACAATGGAACAAAAACACATTCGAATGCGACTTTCTCAGCAACATTTAGTGCGTTTTCGAAAGGATAAAATTGATTTTGTGCGTCGATTCATTACTATGGATGAGATTTGGGTCTATTATCATAATCCTGAATTAAAACAAGAGACTAAAGAGTGGTGTAAACCTGATTGTTCGGTTCCGAAACGAGTTTGTGTCCAGAAATCGGCCAAGAAGGTGTTAGCATCAGTTTTTTGGGATGCTAAAGGAATTTTGTTTGTGGATTACTTGCAAACTGATAAAACAATAAATTCTGAATATTATTGTAACCTTTTAGACCAGCTGAAGGAAATAATTCGTGAAAAAAGACCCGATTTGCAACAGACAAAAATCCTTTTTCATCATCAGGACAATGCACCGTGTCGCAAGAGCATTTTGACAATGGCTAAAATTCATGAATTAAAGTTCGAATTGTTGGAACATCCACCGTATTCACCAGATTTAGCCCCTAGCGACTTCCATCTGTTTCCAGACCTAAAAAAAAGCATGATATTTAAGCGTTTTTCATCAAATGATGAAGTTATAACAGCTGTAGAAACGTATTTTGCAGCCCTTCCAGATTCTCACTTCAGGGATGGAATTCATCAATTGGAATCTCGTTGGAACAAGTGTATTGATCTTCAGGGAGACTATACTGAATAATAAAGTATATTTCAAACTATAAAATTATGTTTTTCTTATCGAACCGCAAAACTTATTGAACAGCCCAGTGTATATATACATGCATGTATACATATGTAAACTGTAGTACTGTTAAAAAAAAAGCTACGTAAATAAGTAAGTCGTGTATTTTGATAGAATTCAAATGCAGTTTCTCTTTCATTGATAAATAGTTTCTTTTTTTTTTTTTTTTTTTTTTTTTTAGAGAAATTTTTAAAACTCGACATCCAAAAAAAACCATACACAATGAATGGAAAATACAACTACTATAAACAAAAACAAAAAATAAATAAATAAAAAGCTATTCTTCTGGATGTTGAGTAATTTTAAAAACACATATGTAAATGGTTGATCATTTGACTATAAAATATATAAAACAAATATTTGTGGGTATTGGTAAATATTTGAAAATATTACATATATCACATGAATTTTGAAAATGACTCTAAACGTGCGACATAATAAGAGAAACATAATTATTATTATTATTATTGTTATTATTATTATATACAATATTTGAAATAATGTCAACAATGATATTGTATGAAAAATATATTCATATAAGCATATATATATATATATATACATAAGCATATGTATATATATATCACAATGTATAGTGTACATTAGAAACATTTATATAACTCGTACACATATTATTTAATTATTATAATTTTTTGTTGTTGTTGTTATCATTTTGTTTTCCTAAGTATTACAATTTCATTCGTTACTTTCATTTTTTATACCAAGTACCAAGTTCAAACAATTTTATTCATATTTACTATCATCTCTTTTTTTTCTTCTTTTTAAACTGCATAGCAGCAATATTATAAGTTTGTATTTTATATGAACACAGGTCTCTTGGTAAATTTTTCACAATATTCTCATATATCAAATATAAATTTGTAATATTATTTTTTGTTTTTTTGTTTTTTTTTTCTTGTTTTAAATTCATATACAAAGAATCGATGATAAATTATTATTTACATAATTACTACATTAAAAAAATGTCTAATTTTTTTTTCTTTTCTCTTCTCTTCTCTTCTCTTCAATTCAATTTTCTAAATATATAAATTACTTTTAATGAAAATTATTTATTTCTATTTTTAAATTTATAACAATTTTCTTGATTCGTCGAGAAAAAAAAATAATTTTATTTAATAAAATCATTTTTTTTTCTTTTTTTTCTTTTATTTTATTTTATTTTTTTCAAAGCCGTTCATTGTTAATAATATTTAATGGATAGTGTATTTTAGTACCATAATTAATATATTATTATTATTATTATATAATAATGACAAGTTTGTCATATTGACTGACTTGAAATATCTTCTTCTTCATTTTTTTTTTCAAAATGGTGGATCGGAACGTAATGTCGTCTTTTTAACCTTAAATTCAAACGAATTAATTTTTAAATTAATAATACAATCACACTTTGTTATCAACAACCCTTTTTTGTTATCTAATATGCAAATATTTAATAACGGATTGAACAAAATCAATCTGTTTTTGATTAAAATATAAAAATTGATTTGCGTAATAACGACGCCATTACTTTTCCATCATCCTAATTAATGCATTATCAATTTGTTTTTTTTTCATAATTATTTCGTGCGATATAATTGGCATATATCTCATAAAATTGTTAAATTTATTATCAAACAAATTTATAATGTTGCATTATTATAATCAAACTATTTTATCATAAATATATTATACAAATTTGGTTTTTTTTCTTTTTTTCTTTTTTTTTTTTTTGTTTACACATAAAATAAATATTTTTCATTGTGACTAATACAATATCAATATCAATAAGATTTAAAGAAACATTAATTATAAAAATATCATTATTTTTTCTTATTGTTAATTGTAAATCTGCTATGTAATAAAATATTAATCAGTTGATTCGATAAAAAAAAAATAAAAATAAAAAAAAAAAAAGACAGAAAAAAATAACATGGAATATAATTCATATTAAATAAGACATATTGCCATCGAATGTTGTAAGATAAATATATTCACTTGTGCTCGAAAATTTGATTAAATTTCAGATGATGTCATCCTGTTAAGTGACTAGCTAGAAGAGCAATGCTTCTTCCCTTACATATATTGTAACATTCGTCTTATTTCATTCTTTGAGAATGTAATTGAACTTAATACTATATATTATATATATAATACGTTTAAAACAGTTTGGTTGCATATTTTTCAAAAATATCCGTTAGCATTGTATTTTTTTTCTTAACCAAAATACACATCGCACACAAGCTAACTTTTTGTTTTGTTTTTTTTCTTTTCAATAATAATATTTAAAAAAATACACATTATCAATAATAATGTTATATAATTTAAAAAATTATATATATATATAGTCATAACCACCCAGTTTAATAAGAATGACATCTAATCAATTTGATCACAGTATCTTCATTTTTTTTTTTTTTTTTATATAAGGCTTCATTAAGAATTTATATATATATATATACGTAGGTTGGAACTTAAATAATGGCAACTATTTATTAACAACCGATACAAAAGAGTTACATGTTTGCACCTGTTACTGTCCTTCAAAGTAGTCACCAGCGTTGTGTAGAACCCGTTAGCAGAGCTTGTTCTGTTGATGGTGCAAATGGAACGGTCCTACTGCCTGTCGAATCTCTGAAACAGTTCTGAAGCGAATGCCACGATGGGTTCAGCATGAATTGACGGAAATGCAAAAATGGATGTGTTAGGAAGCTGCTCAGATGCACTTGGAGTGCTATGAGCGTGAAGGAGAGGCTTTCTTACGCTGTATCGTAACACTAGATGAGACATGGCAGTAGACTGTTCCATTTGCACCATCAACAGAACAGGCTCTGCTGACGGTATACTACACCTTCCACATCGCTGGCAACGGGTTCTACACAACGCTGATGACTACCTTGAGAAACAGTAACAGGTGCAAACATGTAACTCTTTTGTATCGGTTGTGAATAAATAGTTGCCATTATTTAAGTTTCAATCTACGTATATAGAATCATTATTTTCTTTTTGTTTTTGTTGTTATTTTCTGTTTTATCAGATAATAATAAGCTATGAGGTAAGAATCAGAGTAAAAGTTATATAATAATGATGTTAATATCAATGCTTTAAGTCGAATATTTCTATAAGTAATGGCTCTACACTAGATGGATTTACATTTAAATAAACGTTAACAACTTCGTCGTTCAATCTATGAAGTTCCGATATTTTTTGTATTAATTTTAAAAATGTCGATTTAGCTTCACAACCCGGATAAACGCTTTCCAAGTATCGTCTCAAAAGATAATAATAAGAATTCTGTAAATTCAAAATTAAATAAGAAAAATGATGTTATACATTACATATATATATATATTAGGGGGACCGAAAAGTAATGGTAAAGTAAACGATATTAAAAATTTGCATTGTTAATAACGTGATTAATTAATTTAATTATTGATTAATAATAAACACGTGTTAGACAAATTGATTTGTTTGAATTTTGAGGTTAAAAAGCGACATTACTTTTCGTTCCACCTAATATTATATATATATATATTTTCTTACCTGTTCCAATTTAATTACATCACTGTGTACAACCTTTGGTCTGTCAGGTGTGAACAGAGCAATAGCACTTAGAATTAAAATAATATTTTCATCTCTCCATCTTGGATCAAAAGTTCGAACAAATTTGGCATGCTCTGCATACAAATTACCTTTAGCTTCTTTCAATACGTCAACTTTAATATTTGACATTCTTTCTTGACTATGTGGTATTTTCCACATATCTTTGTCGGGATCATAATTAAGTGCCGATCTTAAGATCATCATTTCTGTACATCCACCTTTTAAGAGTGCTAATTGATCCTCTTGGCACATATTTTTAAATGCATTCATTTTTTTCGACATTTTAATAAGACGTCGTATTGCTATGGCCGTTAAATTGATAACATCCAACAACATTGGATCGGATTGTCCAAAACTTCCCTATAAAAAAAAAAAAAAATCAATCAAATTTTAATACACAATTGGATGAATATTAAAATTGTTAACATTTAATAATAAAATTACTTTAAATTTGCATTCTTCACCAACTAAGTTTGTTATATCATCATCTAATGGAGCTAATAGTGCTTTATTAGCTACTATTAATTCATTTAACTTTGCTCTTTCAGCGTCGTTTAATTCTCTGGTGCTTTGATTCCCACCAAGAGCTGAATATGCTGAAAATTCCAATTTAATAGCTTCATACAAGATCGATTCGATCGAATTGGCAGCAATTGGTATTCTAAAAAGTATTTCATATATATATATGTATGAATATATATTAATCAAATCACACAAATACAAAATCATTGTTTTTTTGTTCATTGTATACCTTTGAACATCTTGAAGTACATCTTTAGTTACATCGGCTGTTGTTGTTTTATTTGTACTTAGATCGGTATCTTTGTTTTTATAATTTTCAGTACTTTTGTATGTTATTAAATCCTTTAAAATTGGATTTTCAACATGACTTTGTTTGATTTTAAATGGTTGTCTACTTGTAGTTGCAGATAAATGCTCTTCTATCACATCTTTTTCTAATTCAGGATTAGAATGTTTTATGGTATCGGTATTACTAGTATCGTTACTATTTTCTTTAACAAATTGTGAAATTTGTGGATCTGCTGCTAATCTATTAACCAATACTGGATCTGTCATAATTTTTAAAATTAAATTTCTATCTTGAAATATTTTAGCAACTAAATGTGGATTATTGACAAATTTCATAACGAGTTCTGGATTTTGTGTAAATTTATTAACTAAGTCATTCCCTTTAGGACACATTTCTTTTTGTCTTTGACACGCAGTAGTTTCTTCAGTAAACGTTTGTACACTTGTATGAGAAATGGGACTTAAATTTAATTGCGTAGTTTCAACATTCGAAGTACAATCGATAAACGTAGAAGGACCACTATCAGGACTTTGTTCATATTTGCAATAACTTGCCGAACTATCTTCATACTCATGTTGATAACGTGGTGATTGATTACTCGCATTACCAAAATTCGAATCAAATTCTAACAAATTTTGATCAAATTTTCTCGAATTTATCGAAATATTTTTATCATTTCCAGTTGATTGAGATGCTAGATCAAATTCGTTAAACCTTGTTCGACTTGATACTGGTGAATGTGAAGTTATTCTTCTTGATTCTACATCAGTGTTAGGTTCCTCGTACTGTGATATTAATTCATATTTAACAAAATTACATTTATTATTATAAGAATCTTTTAACATATCTAAAGTTTTCGATCCAGTTATGTTGCCACTTTCTGGTGGACTCGAAGGACTAGGAACACTAGCAGCAGTAACTGGACTCATATTTTCCATAGGATTTTGTCTAGCTGCATCTAAGTCAGCATACTTTTTATCTGATTCCCAAAAATATGTCTCAGATACATTAGATGCAACTGAATTAACTGTATCTTCAAATGTACAATCTTCTACGCAATCCTTTTTAACTTTAGATGTTTTAATGTTATCCGATTGAGGCCTCTTTTTAGCACGATTTTGTTCAATCTTTTGACGCTTTAAAACCTTATCCTCTTCTGACATAATGTATTCCTTACGCATACCAATACTGAAACATTTATCCAAACGGCATTTTTGACAAAAACGTCTGGTCACTGGTGTGATGCTACAATTTTCTGTAAAAGGACACCGGAAATCCTATAAGAAAGAAAGAAAATCAAAATGAAGACGGAATGGTGGTGGTGGTGGTGGTGGTGGTGGTGTTAATGCATAACAAAACAAAATATACAATATACAAGGATACGTATAAACAGAATGGAATAAAATAATGAAAACAATAAATTATACCTTGTTTTTAAGTGCATTCCTTCGGAAAAATGCTTTACAACTTTCACAAGAGACTGCATTGAAATTGTATCCCAAAGCACGGTCACCGCAAACACCGCATATCTTGTTTGCTTCTCTCGTTGGTTGTTCATCTTCCATTTCCTTAGGTAATGCACGATATTAACCAAAACAATTATCACCTCTTATCTAACAATGCACACCATTATTTATTCCTGTTAAAAAGAGCTAATGTTTTTTCATCACTGACCAATTAATGTCAAACATTATTATTATTATTATTATTATTATTGAATAAAAAATAAGAAATATTTTCTTTTGATTATTGTAACATAATTCTTATTATTATACTTTATTTTTTTTTTATTTTTTTATTTTTTAACTTTATTCAAGAGATTGGGATCATCTTTGTTCCACAACGCCCCGGATCTATGAAATGCTGACTTGAAAAGCTTTAAGTGATAAACCAAATAAAGTGCTCAATTGGTAGTCACTTGGTAGTCATTAACGAGACGGTGCGCATAAACCTGTCATACCACGTACTGCCCAGTTCTCTGCCACTACGCTTATTTCTCTTACCCCCCCTCCACCCTCACCCCTCCCACTCTCTCTTCCCCGCCCATCCCTCCGACCCCCCACTTCACCCAATACAATCACCAATCATATTTTTATCTATATTCTACTTTTTTTTCTTTTATCCACCATTTTGTTTTTGTTTGTTTCGTTTTTTTATTTTGTTGATGTTGTTGTTGTTTTTTAATTAACTCATTTTTTTTACTATCGAACACGTCGAACGTATTTT